CCGTCGGGGGCCGGGGCGGCGTGGGGACGCGGGTGCACTCACGCTGCTCGCTCCGGAGGCGGCCAGCGGCCAACGCTGCTCCGCTCGGGGGCTCTTTCCCCCCTCGTCGGCGTTGGACGCACGGGAACCGGTTACCGAGCGCACCCGGACGACCTCTGCCTTCGTCATTTCCTGCCGGCCCGTCGGTTTCCGGATGAAACAAGGAGCCAGGTCTATTTTTTTTTCACCCCCCTATTCAGTTTTTGAACGGGAGAAACGCTGCGACGGCCCCGCCGCCGTCCCCGGGCGTGTGAGTGGAGCCGGGCTCCTTTTCCCTCCCCCAGGCGCGTCACCGCCGCGCTCCGCCCCCGCCTTCGACCCCCCGCCCGGGGCCGCGTGCGGCGCCCTTGAGAACCCCCGGCTGCGGGGCTGCGGCGCAGACGGGAGGGTCGGGACTGGCTGAGGGGCGGCGGGGGTTTCGGGGGGCGGCGAGTCTCCCTACCCTGCCTCGGGGTCCACGTGGACCCAGCTGTGTGCGGTGCGGTGCACTCGCAAAAGGCCGGCGGGAAGTAGCGGGAACTGTCATTACGGGGAGTTGCGTGCCTTTTCCCTCTCCGCTTCGGTGCGACTGCAGGAGTGCGTGTGTGCGCTGGGGGGCTCGACAACGACGGCTGTGCCTTGTCCCACGAATCACGATACTAAGCTGCAAAACAAACTTTGTTGATTTTTTTTTTACTCCTCTCTCGTAATGAGGTCATAAGGTTTCTTTTAATATTTTATGTAAGCGCTTAAGAAAGTAGATGCCCTCCAATATATATTTTATCTTTTCCCCCCACCATAATAAATACTGTGTGGTTGCGACTTAGGAAGTGGTTGGAACCCTAAATGTGACTAGTGTGTCCAGTACTGCCAGTTTAAGTGACTTTGTGTGTGTGTGTGTTACAGTGACGCGCACGTGTATTTTCCAATATGAGACAGGTAATGAATGAACTCTAGGAGTTCAGCAGCTGAAATCGAAAGAGGTCAAAATGGTCAGACCGCCCAGTGGTTGGTGCATCCTTTGTCCACGTGCTTGAGTCTTACTTCATTTTGCGCAAGAATGCTTGAATCAACAGTCTGCTAGTTTTAATTCAGACTAGATCATGTAGGGATTATATTATTAATTGACAAGCAGAGATAAGATAATATTTAACACAATGCCCTGAAGCAAGTCTTCCCTGCTTTTACTTTAAAAATCATTCTCTTGTAATAAGACTAGGGAGCGCTGGTTGCTTAGTGGCAAGAAGCTGCGCTGCAATTAGGAAGGCACGCAGTTCGAGGCCACCAGCTGCTCCGCGGGAGAAGGATGGGCAGTCTTCTCCCATGCGATTAACTGCTTTTGAAAACCCGCCGGAAAATAAGCTATGGGTCGGTTCTGCCTCTACGGTACACAACAATAATAAGACTAACCTCTGTCTAGATTAAGAACATTACTTGATACCAGAAATACCATTGGAAAAACCTCAACGAGATGGATTGGCACGGTGACTGCAACAGTAGACTGGAGCATGTCCGAGATTGTGCGGATGGGGCAGGATAGGGCAGAGTTCTGATCTCTTGTTCGTTGTGAATCTCAGTCAACTCAACGGTTCCTGTAACAACAACAACAGCTGTATATATCTTATTAATACTTTGGCTTACTTACACAGTATAAATAATCGTATGTAGCATGATTATGAATAATAGACTTCAATCAACAGGTACAAAAAGTTAGAAAATTAGAAACAGTAATACCCATTGTTGAGTACTTATTGTGCCAAAAGGTTTACCTGCTTTATCTCAATCTTCTGAGGTAACTTTGTCTAAGCATAGGTTGGTCAAAAATATTTGAAATGTGAACTTGGCTTGTGTGGAATATAATCACAATAACTTTCTATTTCTCCTTTTGTAAAATAAGATGATTGCCATTTATAATCATGAAATTAGTGTCATAAATTCACAGACAGCTTTGAAAATTTGTTAAACTGCAATCAGCTCCTTTATTTGGACTCTTAAGTTGTTTTCAAACTGTTTAACAATTGAATATGTTACAGTTTAGAAAAAGGTAAATGTCTGGAAATGACTTAATGACTCTTAAATAGTCCCTTTTCCAGATTTAATTTCTGAATGGCATTCTTAAACAGAAAAGAATGACAGTGAAATATGAATACTAGTTTTCCACTACCAAATTAAGCAAATAAAAAATGATAGTCTTACTTTGCCAGTGAATACAATTTCATAAACATTTGAATGCTAAGAAAGTTATAAATTGTGTGAGTCCTATTTTCATTTGCCCTTAAATCTCTTAAATGTATGCTCAATTTTGAGTTTAGGGCTTTTAATACTGTGCATTTGCATTAAGAGATAAAGTTTTAAACTTTATTTAATGAAGTAGCTTTGGATTCCTTAATAAAAAAATTTACATAGACTGTTTTCAAAGATACAAGTTAATAATTTGCACAGACAAAACAGTTAAAATTAAACTCTGAAATTCCCAGTGATGGTATGATGCAACTGTTTATGTCCTGTGAGAGTGGAAGCAGTTGGAGGGCTGGAGAGGATGGGAAATGATTGTGAGGAGAGCATTTTGGGCTTGCCTGTCTTCTGCATTTAATGGTTGAGAAAAGGAAAAGATTGAAAATGTTTTCCCAGAGTTCTTTTACCTAAGGATATTTTCTGTGGGGAATAGGTGAGTGGAGAGTTACTGTCAACAGAAGCATGTAAAAAGAAAAAGATGTAAATGCTTCCTTTTGAAGTTCATGATTTTACCTGTGGTGACTGTCTTGCCACCACATGCACCTTTAGGCACTTCTACGGCATTGCTATTTGTGGCAGCTAGGCAAGGCTATTCCTTGAAAAGGGGTTTCATGCTTGAAAAGATGGAGGGTCATTGCAGGAGACAAAAGTCCCCAACAAGATGGACTGACACAATGACTTCAGCAGTGGGCTCTAGTGTGTCAGAAATGAAGATGACACAGGATAAGGCAGGGCTCAGGTCGACTATTCCTGGGTCACTATGAGTTGTTCTAGATTCTGTGGCAGATTAACAGCAGCAGCATTCAGTACTCGAACTCATTGCTCTAAAATTGGAAACAATTCATAGCTGACCTTCCAGCAGGTTTCTGAACCTGTAAACTAAACGGGAGAAGATAGCCAATCTTTCTCTCAAGAAGTTGGTGGATTCAGACCACCGGAGAGGTACAACCTTTGGATCAGCATCGTATCTCACTATGGATTATACCATCAGAGCTTCCTAGACAACTATGAATGGAAGTAGAAAAGGGGGGAAAAGATGGCATGACGGAAAAAAGGTAAATAAGCAAAGCATTAAACTTACTGGTAGGCTTTCGTCTCCTGTGATGTGGCACCTCTCTCATTTGATGTACCGCTCCTGAAAACTCAATGGAGCAGGGTCTTCTATGAGTTAGTTCTGACTCTACAGTACACAGTAGCATCTTTGAAAGAGTAGGGAGTTGTATTGCTATTTCCAAAGCAGGCAGCTGCTCTATAGGAGAAAGACGGGTAGTTTCCTTCCTTCTTACTTTCAGCCTCTGAAAACCTTTTGGAGGGTCAGTTAGGAGTCTTTTCCAACTCATAAGCAATAAACAACAGTAATTTTGAAAATTCCTTTTGTGTCTAATTCAGTAATGCAGAGAAGAGTAAGTTATGTTTACTAATTGAGTGAATATTGTATTCATAGGAGAACATCTAAGACATTAAAAATGTGTGCCCAAGGGAGCTCTTGTGGCCTAGTGGCAAGAAGCTGCTCTTCAATTCCAAAGGTGGCAGTTCAAATCCACCAGATGCTCCATTGAAGGAGGGGCAGGGAACTGACTCGATTATACACAACAAAAAAAGTTTAAAAAAAGGGGGAAAAAGTGCACTTAGTTTTCAACTATATCATAGGTAAACATTGTTTAGACACATAACACATATGTGAATTTTAAGTTAAAACAGTAATGCTAATAGTCAACATTTATGTGATGCTTAAAATGTACCACACACTAAAAGAAAAAAAAAATGTACCACACACTGCCTCATGCCTTTACTCATATGCCTCATATGCTAATAATTTATCTCACAGCTGTCCTTTGAGCAAGATTCATTTCTTATCCTCATTTGCAAAATGAGGAAACTGAGGCACAACAATAATTAAATTACTTACTTAAAGTCATGCAGGTGTTAAGCAGAGAAGACTAGTCTAGCTCCAGAGTCAGTGTGCTTTCTCGGTGGAGTATGACTTTATACTTGGAAACCAAAACATTAAACCTGCTGCCTTCAAACTGATTGCAAATCCTGGCAACCTTACTTTGAGTTTCTGAGGCTAAATATTCATAGGAAGAGACTCTTTCTCCCTTTGAGCAACCAGTCTTCAGTTAGCCATGCATTATAAGGTACTTTACTTTTATATTGGGAAGGTGATCTAATAGTCAAACCTACTTTCTCTCCTGTAAAAGGTGCTCTTTTAAAAATTTCAGAGTAGTATAAAAGATTACCACGACCCTGTGTGGCACAAACAGTGCTAAATTTCCTAGCTGGAAGAGGTTCATAACTAAATGATTAAGGGGACATTGGATATTGCAATCACTAAAACAAGTAGATAGAAACAGAATTTTAAATCTTAAAACTAAATGTGAATTATAACTCTTTGTAGTTCTGTGCGTGGGCATTGAGTGACACACAAGACACTGATTTTTGTAAAGTGCTAAAAAGTGAGTTCTTGTTTTGGCTGAAGGTCGGCTGTGGACTGTTCGGTTGGTTTTATTTTTGTTCACAACCATGCATGAGTTGATTGGATTGGTTGGTTTTGGCTGGCAGTGAACTGGGGGTGGGGAGGGGTTGTGGTGCGCCTCTTGGTGGAGCCAGTCAGGGGCTGGTGCCCTGGCCTGGGTTGTTTTGTTTTGTTTTTAATTTGGTTGGGCCCGAGGGCCGCACAGGTGTTAATTTGTGTTTGAAATGAACATTCTCCTAAGTGGTACAGCCCTGCTCTGTCAGTTTGCTATACTGAGGAAATTTGGGATTGCTGTGATTCTGAACACTGTGCCATTGGTGTCTCAAATGCCATAATAGTTACCTATGGTGGACAGTGTTTGGTGGAGCTCCCAGATTAAGACAGGCTTGAAAGCAGGAGAGACATCCAATTCCTAAACAACATGCCTCTAGAAACTCTATGAAC